TCATGTGGGACTATCCAAAGCACAAAACGATTTAGTCACTCAAAACAAAACTAGGCTGTCACCACATATTGATGATAAGAATTTCAGTCAATTAATTGTATTCAAAGGAATTCATTACTTTTCTATTTTATCATTCATGTAACAGTATTGAAAACAAGTGGTGTTTCCAGCGGTACGGTGACTGGCACAACAACAAGGTTGTGGGCCTCTCTGTGCAGAGTTTGCATATTTCTTCATATGTGTCTGCCTGTGCATAAACTTAGCCATCAAGATGAATGCTCATGATATTTCTGAGTTCAAACTTCCCTCTGGCCCAGCTCCTACTGTTGTGATTGCCTGGTTAACCAGGTTAAAATCCAATCTAGGGATGGGCATGATTAGTCGATTAATCGATAATTGATCATTAAGAATTTCATCGATTACGTACATTTTTATCGACAAACAGAGTGTAGGATGCTGTGCGTAGCGTGACCAAACAGGGGTCCGTACAAGTAGCTCTCTGCACTCAGAAGGAGCGAGCAAACACAAACAGTCGGTCAGTCTGCAACGTACCGAAGTGCATATGCGTATTTAATGATGACTTGTACAAGAAATTCCACACTTTCCGTTCCGGTCGGGACAAGCATGAGTCCATGTGCACAGTGTACAAAGCAGCACATATGTTTCGGTGTCCAGTGGGAAAAAGCTTTACCAGGTGAGAGTAGCGCAATGTCGATGACGAGTCCCCACCTCCCACCTCGCGTACGGTGTCCTGGTTTTGACAAACGCAAATATGGTCACACTAAACTGTATTCCACTGAGTCGTGTCTTTTAATCCGACAGAAATTGACCGCATCAACGCAAAAGAGCTGTAGTTTTTTATCTTCGCTGAGTTTATGCAAATTAGCGATGCGGTTTTAAGTTTCGTTTCTGTGAGAGTTGCGCAAAACTGAATTAAACACATTATAATAAACGGGCTGATGTGGCTCTAGTGTGGTTACGGTTTATTTGTCGTAAAGTTGAATTTATTTATGTAGATTAGGAGTGCAGCTAGTAATAATAATGATGATCATTTTAATATAAAAACGTTAATGATTAATCGATAATCGATCGTTAATTCTCTCGACAATCGATTAAGAAAATTTCATCGAATGCCCATCCCTAATCCAATCATGTTCATGTAAAATCAGATCAATCAATGTAAAATATTGTCTAAAGTAAAAAAAAAAAAACATTACAAAAGAAAATAAACAAAAGAAAAAAACTTGATTAAAGGGGAGAAAAGAGTACAATTAAGTGTAATAAAATGGAAATTAACATTCATATTTGTAATCAATATGCTTATGCAATAATGGAATCAATAATATGGCTTTGTCCTACTCTAGCATATTATTTCATTTGCTGTAACACAAAAAGCAATGAAAAATGCCAGAACCTATCAGCCAGTTACAATTTGAAACAAAGTGGTTTTAGCCCGAAGCATCAGTCTCTCAAAAATTGGATTAAGTAAAACTCCCGATATTACATTTCTGTGCCAATTTAATCACCACAATACAAGGGGAAGAGAGAATGACTTAAAGAACTACACCGGCTTATTGGAAAAACTATATTTTACAAGGGAATTGCTACTTTTGTGCCTCTTCAGCACCCTCAATGAATGAAACAACATCTGAAAGCAATATTCAAGTGATACTTAAATATCAAAGAAATTATGAATTTTAATTTAGAGATTGAACTACAAGATTATTTGTATACTGACTCAAACACTTCTCCCAGAAACTGAAAAGTAAAAAATCATTTGAATGAAACCACATTGCTATGCAGCCTACATAACTAACAACTTGTAATCTCCTCAGATGGTAATTCAGACACAGTGGAATTGAGTGATTAAACCTGAAAGGCTTCATGATTTAAAACTAGGTTAGGCTTTAATTTAACTTTAACTTTAAAGGGAGCGATGAATCAGCACCAGTCTTGTGGTTATAAAAGGTATATTGTATTGTCTATAAAAATGTTACAATGAAGTCATTTGGCGCTTGCTTTAATGCTCCTTAGACTGCGGAAGATGAAGCTCTCTATAAATTCCAATGCCATGGCTATATAACATATCCTAATGCAATACAGTCTGTTTGCTGTAAAGACGATATTCAGGAAGACAGATTTATACATAAGAGTAGCTCATTTTTTAAATATTAAAAATATTGTGTCGTCTTTGATCTGACGACATTTACGCTTTTATTCTTTCATTATCCACTTGTTTTGCCACCAACATTAACTCTAGTTCTCTGTAGGAATTTTAACAGCTGCAGAAACGTGTTCATGAAAGGAGTTGGGAGGAATACTGAAGAGAAAGGGCTAACCAAAATTAAATGCAATTAAAGGCTCACAGATAGCCTTGTGAGTCCTCCTCAGTGTTTGAGCCAATGGTTAGCATTCAGCACCGGCCAACCTTGCACCTTGTAAACAAACAGCACCCGCCTTTTCTTCCCAAAGCCTCCTGGCCCTTTCCAGGTGACAGCCAATCATCCACGATGGCAATGCCTCCAGCTATTTCGAGGGATCTGAAGATGTGCCGAATAGAAATGAAAAGAAATCTCCCTCATGTGTGGTGACTTAGCCCCCAGAGGATACCGACCTCCAGAGGAGACATTTCCTCTCCACACAACTGTGTTGGAGACAAAACGAAAGGGATTTTCTGGTGTCAGCAGCTCAGTCTGTAAGACTGGACATTAGCATAAATTTACTACGTGGGTTATGCTGCTCAGAATACGCAAATATACACAACCTTTTTTGAAACAAGAAAGAAACACCCAGCATACAGTTTGACAACAGCATAAAAAGCTTTTTGTGAAATATTAAAATGGTAAGTCATGGGAATTCCATTTATTTGCAAAATTTGATTCCTGGCCTCACAAACAAGCAAACTATTTATCAGCACTGTGTCACATCACAGATTCCCAAGTGACCACCACAGCAGCCAAACTGCACATAAAACCACATGCACAGCCCAAAGTGAAATGATGAAGATACACGTGTCACTCCAGTGCAGTTAAATAGAAATGTGTTATGAAAACACCACTAAAGTGTTAATTCACTGGAGAATGAATGTGCTTGTGTGCTGTTAACAGCCGGCTCCTGTCGGATATTGAAACAAATAAACACTCCTCAGCCTCTTCACACAGCGCAGATGTGATGGCGCTGCAGCCACTACAATGTGAAGCAGCAGAAACAAATCACCATGGAGGACCGACCAGCACAAAGGCCATCACTGTGGAAGTGAGTGTACGTCACAGTCCTTCATGCAAAACAGCTTTTCATTCTCTCAAACAGTAGCTCCAAAACACAGATGCCAACAGGGCTCAGTATAACACACCACATGAACCAATGACTACAGATCCTAGAGCTTAAATTTGTTCTCAAGGCGACATACAGTGCATCAAACAGGAGTGCTGGCCAACCAAGATCACATGATTTTCTAAGCCTCTATGATTTCTCTGACCGATACTGTTTTGTCCCATACTGCTTTGCAAATGTCTTAGTATACCCCTAATTACTTAAAATTTGGTGTTTTGGTAAAAAATTTCAGAACAGCAGATAAAATGGTTGAAATGCTTTTGATAATTATTTAAATAGATAAGGCTTTGCCCACAAGATCAGAGATGCCCACCCACAGTCTCCTGGTAAGCGGAGTGTGACCTGATAAGCAGTTAAGGCAAAGAAAGGCCACTTTGTGTGAGAGAAAGTGCTGGAGGAGGCACAAATCTAGGGCAGAAGTGAAAGAGAGCTGGAATTCAAACAGGATCCCTGAAGCCTGTTCTTGTGGTTGTGCAGTCAGTGGCACCTCAGGAAGAACCAGGCACAGAAGCTCGCGGGAATGTGTCAGTTGACTGCGGTCAACAAAACTCAGCATGAGAAAGGCTACAAAAATTCACAGAAACTAAAATAACATTAAACCAGAATGAGCTTAACAAGTGTGTTTAGTTATTGTAGATGGGTTTCTGAAGTCCCTAAGTAGCTCTTAACAGCAGAATTACATAGTACAGGAGCTTAAATAATAATCAATTACTAACTGATTTACGATAAAGGATCAATTAAATTAGTAAAGCTACAGTAGCTTTACACTTGAGTATATCACAACTCCCAAGGTACTACTCAATGGAAAACGAACAGATCAATCATTACCACACAGGTACCACTATGCCTGCTTCATCTCTCCTAACACACAGCACAGCGGTACTTTTAAGAAATTCGAGCAAATCAAATGTTCCATATCCCAAGAGGCAGGGAAAGAAATACATTACATTAATTTAGTGTGAGCCTAGATACACATAAAATAAAGCTGAACAGTCAGAAGATTCAATTCTATCTTAGTCGCCCTATGACATCCTAACCCAAACCCATGTATGTGAAATTTAACCTAACAGCAAACAAAGTGGTCACATGTACTCACTGATATTATTTAACTGAGAACCTCTGATTAAAAAAAAATCTAAATTGGGAATGTTAGTAGACCTTAATCTTACTGTAACAGATTTATATGGCGTCTTTATAGGCACTCAAATCGCTATATTGCATAATTCATGCACTCCTCACATGCATACTTGTAGCCACAGCTGCCCTTGGGCTAAATGACAGAAAAGTGCCTGCCAATATGCACTAATAACCATTCCTACAATAGTGAATAATACAGTATATAATACATAGGTAAGAGGGATGAGCGTGTCTTGCCCAAGGACCCAAAGACACTGGTCAAATGCTTAACCACTGAACTAAGCCCAAAATTTTACATCCATTAAAAGACTGTGATGGAGATTATGAGGGCTGTTGCTATGGTCTCTTGTAGCATAGCAACAACTGTGGACCTCTAACCAAGGCCTTGAGAAAAACCCACAGGCCATAAACCCTATGTTCAATGGAGAGGGATTAAAAGAGGGGCACCCACAGCTATGCAGAGACATGCTGGGCAAATGTAGTGTTTTGTTCTTCACAGCGTGCAACTAAACAAATGCTCATGACCCTACCTTATTATGAAGCCAGGTTAGTCGTCCCAGTGGGGTGTCTTGACATTCACCGCTGCCTTCAAAGAAATAAACGTACGTTAAAAGCCTTGATGTGGGATAATCCTCTAATATCAGAAAATGTATTTTTGTCTTGTTGTAAGGGCACAAAATAATCATATGTTTTAGACACAAGATTTCTGGTTGGTGTGTTTGGTAAAAGCAAATAAAATGCACAAGTCTGTAATGATGAGCCCTACAAAGCTAGAGCTGAACGGTGTAGGGAGACAATAATAGTAAATCCATAAAAAATGACTGAAGTTGCAATTTTAATGGCTGCAGTTAGGATTTGTATAATATCATGTTTAACATTTCCTTATTTCCATTGTGTAAAACATCGTTCCTTCAGTATACATGACCAACTTTATGGTCATGTATACTTAGAATTATAAACAATTAGATAAAACCATTTAGACTTTTTTGGAGTAAAGACTGAATTAAAATAACTTACTTTTACTTGTCACATTTGTTGTCCTTCTTAAATAACATAAATAATCACAGTTATCTATAAATCAAATAATTTTGACATCCTTAGTTCAAATTAACAAATTGCAAAGGCTGCCAATAGTCAGCATAATATCCTCTGAAAAACGTATTTCAGTATTTTTCTCAAACATTAATGTTCCTGACCTGAATATTAAATTATAAATTGAATCACAATTTTAATAATTTTAGATAATTGTCCGGCCTCATTTATAATCAAGATACAGTTAAGTTCACAGTGAGGACATTAACTCTGATACAGGAGAAGTAACATTTCAGGGAACACCACACTGAAAACTACATATACACTTTTATAGGTTTTTACTTGTGTTAGCATGGAGACAGGACATCTTGTTATCTGTAAAGGGCTTTAAACATTCTAAATAGTTAATGTCATTTTGATTCTATTGCAAATCATTATAAATGTATCCCTAGAAGCAGCCTATCTCATCTTTTCAGAGCTATGCCAAATACAAGAATCGTTTGAAAAGGGAGATAAAGCAAAGAGCATTTGTGCAATAGAAATGGAGAGATCTTGAGCGTGAGACAAGCAGACAGGCCAAATCAGATGTAATGGAGAACGCATATATTTACTACATGCAAATACAAGAGGAGATACCACAAAAACCAATGACCACAGAACCTAGAGCTTCATGTCAGAGAAACATGTTGGGGAGACAAGGAGAGAAAACGGACATCAAAAGGTGCACTATGTAACTTTTTGGTCTGCTTTTTTTCTATAGATATATCTTTGCTCTGCCTGGAATGTTCGAAAGTATGACCTTAAACAGTTATATCTTACATTTATCCAATTACAGGTGATTTTATAGCTCAAAAATACAAAAAAACAGGCAGCAGGTCTGACTGGGAACAGGGTTGCTTTTCCGCAGATCTGACCTGCAACTTGGCCTGGTTTGAAGATAAAGGTTTAATATCGTGAAGTATTCCAGATACAGCAATAGCATCTCCACCGAGAAAAGCATTTGACGGACCCTCCGCCAGAAACGTTACCAAATACACCTTTAAAGCGCTTTAGTAATAATACAATAATGTCCTTTTATTTCATTTCATGATGCCACTTTGAATTGTGAGTGGGCTCAAAGGACATGAAGCAATCTTTCCTCCGTGTTTCTATCAGAAGATGAAATGGCAAGTCCCTGTACCTGTCAAAGTGCACCACAACCGCACTAACTTACATTTTCAACAAGCTGGTTCAACGAGTTGGTATAAAAACAGACCCAGTGTATTAAAGCAGACCTATTTGGCAAAATTAACTTTTTGGAGTTTTGAACCATTTTATAACTGTCTCACCTAAAGTTGTATTTGGAGTGTTTTGTGCGTGTTTGTGCAAACTTGGTAAATGAGGGTAAAAGAGCAAAGACACTGATTATGGGAACACACGATTTAAATGGTGTTCGTCCAGCTATCAAGACATAACCAGATATTCAAGCCTAACTAGTGGACCAAAGTAAAACAAAACATACACACACAGAAGGTCTGTATAATGGTGTTGTCATAGCCTATTAGTTTTATAGGTGTGTACTTTAGCTAAGTAAATGATAGGGCTGCAACGTATGTACACACTGTCCATTTGATTAGTAGAAGATAGGTGAAACAGAAATAACATGTGCTTGAAAAAAAAAGAAAGAAACAAACAAACAAAGACGCCAGTAAAAGACGCGTAAAGCTCACCTGCAACGCGGAATTGTTTCGATTTCTCTTCAGACTGTTCTTGCTTCTCGTTGCTTCTGGGCAAAGCTAACTTTAACTTTAGCTAGTAGCTGCTGTTGCTGCTGCACGTGTTTTAGACATTTTTAGTTTAGCCGTCTAGATTGTCTCGGAATTTAATAACTTGACAAAATGAAAAAAAAAAAGCTAGATAAAAGCTAAACAATTTAGTCAGAACTTCACCTGTTCAGCTCCTCAAACATCTCCCTTCCTTCTGCCCTGGTCTTGTGTCCCCTTGAGGTAAATGGGTGGTATGAGGCAGGCCTGATCGACACCAGTTGTTCTTATTTACCCTAACATATATACCAGTACCAGGTCGCTTGGTATTTACACAGAATTGCGTTAGGCTACCATAGACATACAGGCCACAGAATAAGAAAAGGTTAATTATATATAGATCTAGCCTATAAATTAAATTTGCCTTCTTGACCCCTGCCCCACCCATTTAACCATCTCACTTTTTTGTGGACTTTTATGTTTTGAACTAAAAGTAAACTCAGTTCTTTTATATGACCCCTCTTTTTAACAGGCCTTCAAGACTGGGTGGTCTACTTGCACCTGTACTGATGCCCATTAGTTCTGTGCTTGTGTTTACATGATTGTTTATGAGAGCTATGGGCTGGGCTTGGGTGTTTCCATTTATTGCACTATAATGAAAATAATGCATTATTCATTAGCTCCACAGTTTTTGGTGGTAAGAGAGTCTACTTAACCTAACTTCTCAAGGCTGCCAGTCACCAATAACTCATTAACATACACCTGACAAGGCATTCTGTGTGTGCCCAAGCTGCCATCTCCTGCATCACTGCGGTGTTTTGACATAAACATTACTCTAATTCATTTATAGTCTTTTTGTAGTGATTCAATACTCAAGTGTTTTAGAAGGCAAATTGAAGCATGCATCCTTTTAAACTAAGATCAGAAGAAAAATGGTAGGCCTAACTAAAATGCGTTAGGCCATCATGTATCTAAAATGTTGATAGGCGTGTAATAGGCTATATAAATAGCCATTTTGTCAGCACTGTCGTGTTTCTCTGACAAGTCCCACAAGCTCCTTCAGTGGTAATCTATGAAAGTAGCTGCTGTCACTCAACAGCAGCTAGCCCTAATCAGCACACACTCTCTCTGGCACTTCTCCTGATCTCACTGTTAGACTTAGCTTTGTCATTTGGCATACAGCCTCAGAGCACAAAGAGACATGCTTCTCACCAGGAGTCACCACAGCATTAATGCCTTGTTTGATTTTAGGTAGGGTGGGGTTGGCTAATTTACCCACAGCATTTGACCCATTCAGTACAGGTTCGAGTCAACACTGACTGTTCAAAAGATACAATCACTCAAACTGTTCTTGATCATTTGCCAAGTAAGACAATAGAGCAGCCAGTGGTGTTGCTGTTTTTGACTTGCACTTTCAAACAACATGACTTCATTGTGAGAGTCATCCAACTCTGATAAAAGGTTACATTATGTAGAGGGACAATGAAATACATATTAATGCATCACATTCAAAGACATTTTACATTGCTTCATTGATTCCACACACACATAGTTAAACTACTTCAGAAGCCACAGCAGCCTGAGGACTGACATAGACTTTCTGGCCAATCTGCATCAACTGCCTTTCTGACCACCCCCAACCACTAATTTACTATGCAACATCAGAATGGATTGACCACTCTGAGGCAATGTTACACCACTGTCTTAAGACACTGAACAGAAGAAAACATAGAAAACACAACATAGACAGGGGGATAGGGATACAGCCTATTGGTGTAGATGGACATAAAACACAATGACACCTGTGGCTTTCTATTTTATATTAGGAGAATTTTAAATTGCAATATTGATTGAAGTCAGATGACTTTTGGCTATGCGGTGCTGCTGAATCGATGTGAGTACCACTGTTTAAGAAAAAAATAAAACGATGACCAAAGTGTTGTGGGAGTGTATAGATGGATCACAGAAAACTGAAATTTTCAGAGTAATAGCATCTTAAATGAGAGAGTAAATGAGAAGAGAAAACATACCATGGTAAAAACTAAAAGTCAGTTTTGCATAATATTACCCCTTTAATCTTGATTTCAGTGACTAACATGGGAATATTGAGTACTTCAGAAGATTCTTTACAGAATGTGTATCCAACATTGCGAGGCTCACAGGACATATCTGGTCTCCATCTCAGTCCAGACTTTTAAAATTTGCATGTAATGAAAACATTTTTCCCTCACTTTTGTAGTTCAACTTTCATATTAAATAAATCTTTGAGTCAATGCTGTCACAATAACTGCATACAGCAGACCTTACTTTCACTTAACCTTTTATGGTTAATACAGAACTGACAAAAAAGAAAGGAATTAATAACAGTGAACAGCAAAGAGCATTCGGACTCAAAATAGATGAATGTGAAGGCTCTTTGAGAGAATATCTGAAGGCACAAAAACCCTATGCTGTCTTTTCTATCTTTATCCATTGGCCCCATTCTGTGTTGAACATATTAATAAAAATACAGCAAATTCCTTGAAACCCTGTTGCCACAAAGACCTAAACAAGGATCGAATGTAGCAGCTGAAATAAATGGCTCTTTCTCTTTGCTAAGCTGGGTGTTTTCCTCCTGTTTGTCACATGCAGCCCTTCATCCACACTAATGATGAGAGGTCCACTACTCACAAATCAGTTTCTCTAAATAGGTTTCAAAGCACAGGGGACAACACAAACCAGGGTCAGCAGGCTTTTATCTGAACTTTATATGTTAGTAAAACCCCAGATGACCGTAACTGGTCCATTGAAATTGTGCTTCAAATGATAAAATATCACACAAAGCCTTGTGTGTAATGGGTTGTTTAATGGTGGAGCAAAAATCAATGATTAAGCTCCAACTCATTAAATAGATCAGAGACCCACAGTCCAGTCAATCAAATGCAAATCATTATCTATTTATTATGAATTTAAATGTGTACTATAACTTTTCTTGTGGGGTCTGCCATGGAGATGTTGTAGTAAACATAACTACATGTGTTTTATTTCTCAAAAATACCTTAAAACATGCATTCTTACTGTGACTGTTCTTCTATCCACAGATCTGATACATATATGTTTAGTGCTATACTTCATTCCAAACAAAGGAGTAACATCCACGGAGACAAGCAGATGGTGGACCATCAACCAGAAAATGTAATGTATCTTTAGATTTAAAAAAAAAAAAGAAAAAAAAAAAGTTTCTTTAAATCAATTTGTTTGCATTTTTATCATATGCAAAAGTCGGCCCACACACATGTAATAACATAAATTCTATGGCACGAAAATACACAAAGCTCACAATCCACTGTTGAGTCAATATGGAAAATATCATATCTATTTTTCTAGAGTCAAGTTTCAGTTTATAAATTGTCCATGAACTCAACACAGAATGAGTGTGGCAGTATTTATGTAAACACTGAATGTATATGTATTCTGTTTATAATACTAAATATGAAAAAGAAGCTCAATAAATATATACATCCTTTCTTTTGGGAGCCCACACATTTTTGATTAACTTGGATCCACTGATATATGGAATGCTTCAAATGTTTCAGACATTTTAAACCACTGGTATATTCAAGAATTTCTACATATGTGATATTTCTAAACTAAGTTAAATGACAGATTATTTTTACAGATACATTTGTGATGGAAACTCTGTACAGACAGACAACCCACCCTGCATTACTTTATAGGAACATTATTGTGACATCCAAACAGCACATCCTGTTCTCTGGACTGAGCCAAAAATGCACACACACGCACGCACACACAAACACACACACACACACACACACACACACACACACACACACACATATACCATGTATTAATAAACATATGTTATCTTTACTTCTTTGCCCAGCAGACAGTCTGTACATTTAATAGAATAGTCTACAGATAAAGCACCCATTGGTCCTAAACAAACAGCACAATATTAGATTTACTTTTGTCCATTACAGTGTGTGTGCTGATGTGTAAAACAATCTTTTTTAGGATTTGCTTCTCTTGCTGTGTGCATGGTCCAACTCTTTTGTGGCGACTGAGTGTGTGTGCACCATTTTATCAAAAAGTACTTTGTGACCTTTCCATGATGGCTGTCTAAATAAAGGCTCCCCACCTCTCTTATATCTACAAACCTGGCTCAATACTTACACCACAAGGATAACCATCTCAATACATTATATTGCACCAGCTATAGGACCTCATTCATGGAGACATTTCAGACAGTGTTTTGGATTCTTTGTTGTTTTCCAAACACACATACTGTCTCAATGATTGCTACTCATGATAATAATGTGACAATATTACTTCTGTTCTCGGCTCTTCTAATACATGAGGCACACTAGAGTAAGAGAATTTAGTGTAATAAAAAAGAGTGGAGTAATCATGTCCACAGGGAACACAGCCATATTTCTAATTGAAAAACAAGGATGTGAAAAGTCTCTTTATTGAGCTGAAAACACACTGAATTGTAATTTATACAGTCACATCTTTCTATTACGCTGTGTGGACACATATAGACACATCTCCATCTGTCTAATGCCTGTCATGTTTCCAAACCAAAACGACAGCCTATAAATACATCCACATCCAGCGACAGTATCACATTATTTTTATGTAATGTAAATAGGTCTTAATTGTATGTATGTCATGAAATTGATTTGTTTCACTCTGGGCAAATACAACCATTGTATAATTCAAAGAAACTACAGAAACATATGATCTCTTTAACAAGTCAATAAATTCTACTCTATAATGAACTCTACACTTTTTATTTGGATTCTTTTTTCAATTTTCACTGCTTATTTTGAATTTATTATTACCATTTATACGCTTGCTCTTTGTTATTAGAATATATTGTGAATTATGAGCTACTGTGTCCAAATAATTTCCCTTGTGGATCAATAAATTTTGTCAAAGTCTAAACTTAAATCTTTCTTTCAAATTTCCTGTAGTACTGAGTTGAGCCAAGAGGGGTCAGGAAAAGAACAAATGATTAGCTATTTATAAAAATTGTTTTAAACGTGCTTTTCTCTTAATTTGGCATCATTCTTTTACTTAAAACACTGTATTTTCAATTTATTATTCCATCCAAATGAAAATGAATGCAAGTGCACTCAATAGTCTTGCTGCCCATGTC